GGAGGGTTTGAGGGGCGGACGCTGTTTCCTTTGAAAAGTGTTGAAGAGGGGCTGACGCCTGGTCTCTTTGTGGATTGTGTGTGCGCAGGTGAAGCTTTCGATGGCGCTGGTGAAGCAGATCTTGCACACACAGAGAGAGAGAGAGAGAGAGAGGGCGTTTGTGTGTGGTGGGGGGGCGGGGAGGGGGGGGGGGGGTTTCAACTTTCAGTTCAACATAAAAATAAAAAATAAAAAATATGTGTTGTGCGCACCTGGCGCATATGTGGCCCCGCAGCGCGCACCCCCCAGCGCACCCGCGCTCGGCGCACCAGCCCTGTGCGCAGCGCATCGCGCATCGCGCACTGCGCACCTCGGGTCCGCGCGCTGCGCAGCTTACAGGGTCGATGTGCCGCAAATATGGTACAGACCTGTCGAGTTCGTATCTTGTAGATTACCTAGTGAGAAGGTCGCCGCTTCTACGTATGAGAGAGAGCTATTGGGTCTGAGAGAAGACACTACTTCCTACGTCGGCATTTCAAAGTGTATTCGGACCATGAGACACTAAGTAGGCGAGCCGAAGACCCAAGCTAGAATGACACCTCAGTTGAAAAGGTGGGCTGGGGAGATTGATCAGTTTGATTTCGAACTGAAGCCAGTCAAAGGGAAGTACAATGTTGTCGCTGATGCGCTAAGTAGGCGAGCGGATTTCTTCGGTGCCATTGTGACATACTTAGCTGTAGGCGCTGAATCACAAGAGAAGATTAGGTCTGCCTACGCTAATGATCCAGTCTATAGTCAATTGACTGACAAGGTGCAGGCGACACTGCACGAAGTTTCAGACTTTAGAGTGCCCCAAGGACTATTGTTTGAGAAGAGAGATGTGCACGACAGACTGTGCATACCAGTGAGGAGATTCACAGTCAAATCCTAAGGGAATGTCACGACACTGAGGGACACTTCGGGTGGAGGAAAACGTATGCTAACCTCCTACGTTCCTGTACATGGGCTGGAATTAAACATGACTGCCTAGCCTATGTTCTGGGCTGCCAAGTATGTTAGAAAAACAAGAGTACCACGCAGCCTGCCCTTTGTTTACTTAAACCGTTGCCTATACTGTTGGGTGTCGGAGACTCCGTGTCTATAGACTTTATGGACACTAAAGTGAGAAGTAAGAATGGTAAAAGCCAAGTTATGGTGATAGTGGACAGATTTAGCAAGTTTGCTGTTTTTGTGCCACTCCTTGCATATGAAACGGTTTCACCCAGTTGACCTGACATTGCAGTCACAGAGATTCGATCCCTAGACCTGTGCCACAACCCTATACATTGAACCCGTGTGCTGAGTGAGATTCGATCCCTAGACCTACCCTATACCTGTACATAGACCCTGTTTACTGAGTAGGATTTGATTCCTAGACCTGTTCCACATCCCAGATTAGTCTGTAGTTTGGGCAATAGGACTTGATCCCTAGGTCTGTAGATTAGCACCTAGGTCTGTTACCGTTAGACCTAGGAAGGTCTGTTCTAGAAGTCTCTATCTGGGTCTACTGAGGCCTAGAGTCTGTCTTTAATTCTGTAGGCTCTAGAAGGTCGTAGGTCATTGTAGGCCAGTCCAGTCGGCAAGTACCAGGGGCAAGGGCTGCACGTGGGGAAGGTTCTGGACCCCCCTGTGGGTTCCACACGTTTTGGCCCAGAAGGCCAAACGTCTGGAAGCTTCCCAGGGCCACACATTTTGACCCAGGCCCACACGTTTTGGGGCAGAGATAAGAGATAAAAGATGTAATGCAGTCAGAGGTTTATTGTCGCAGCATAACTGCATCACACAGGAACATGGGGCAACCCCATGCTTACAGACCTTCTCCTTTATGCTACTCAGTCTGCCATTGGAGCGAACGCTCCCTTCAATAAATACCCTCGCTTCGACTTACCAAGGGGTTCCAAGCAACCGGTTCCCCGAATCACCCAGGACCCTGACGTAGTAAGTCCCCTGTAACCAGTCCTGCAATGCGCAGATTTACCGCCAAAATGTAATCGATGGCCCAGGTCGAACCCTTAGCTGCGAAGATAAAAAACATGCTCGGCTGTAGGCCGACACGGTTGCTGAAAAGATAAATAAATATATTTAAGGATCCTAAGCAAAAAATTTAGAGAAAGTCAAGAGAAATCAGATGCTGATGTCAGAGCGAGAATGAGTCACACCACATGTAGATACGTGCGGCTCGAGCGCGTGATCACTTTGTCGCATCCTTAGCTGCTCTTGACTTCCTCTCAGTCGGCCCCGCTCCAACTCCCGTAGCATTTCCGTAGCTTGTGGACGAGCGCCACAAGACATTCCCCACCCACCCTCCCAGCGACTTTCTCCATTGCAGAAAGGATGATTTTAGTCGGGAAACCTGCGCCTTTCAGCTCCCTGTGAAAGGTCATGAAGCAGTTCGGAAGAAGTGCATCCATGTTCGTGTTACCCAGAATCCGATAGATCGTGCCGATGCAATCTTCTGTTCCCTGGGACCAAAGGATACGAATCTCCGCGTTATCATGAATTTAGGTCTGTCAGGTTTCTCCCATATACTCTCATCATTTTTAGATTTATGCATTGTTCCCAGCTGGGTAGGATTCTCTAGTACGAATATCCGCATCTCTAAAAAATCCATGATATTATTTCCACTGTCTGTTCTTTCCAACCTCAGTTCGGGGTGGTAACAAGATGTGATTTTATCCTTTATCTGTTATGTTCTTTCCTTCTCATGAGAGTTCCCATTTTTGTAGAAACCCAGCAGAAGCAAGTCATCGACGTACCTCTTTCCAAACAGGCGTTTCTCATCCCTTCCCAGTTCATTTAGAAAATTTCTCTTCGGCATACATGCAGACTGGTGATGCCAACGGGGGGCTAGCCTGTCCTCCCATTGGTATCTCTTTGTCTTGCCTCAATATTGTTCCAACAGATTTAAAGAAAATGTGGTCGAGCATGAAGCTGACCAGTCTCTCCAAATCGTGAAGTCTAACTGATTACCAACCTTTTTCACCAGCTGCTTTCCCAAAGGTGGCTCCTTTCCCATGTGTTTTAATTCGGACCCAGTACCTTCCCTTCGTCCTGAGTTTATCAAACATCCATTTCACCGCCGTTCTTACCTCACCGTGGGGAATTTTTGAAAACATTTCCTTAATAGCATATGTCCGGGCGCAAACACCAAATTGATCCCTCTCTCCTTTTCTGTTTACTGCCACAAGATTTTCTTTGAGGCAGCCCCCAGAAAGGAGAATAAAATGTCCTGTTATCTTCATTGGATCATAAGGTTTAGCGCCTTAACCAGGTAGTTGATTGCAAAATGAGCCGGATTTGCGAAAGATGGGCAAATCGGGCTTCTTTTATCCAAATCTTTTTCCTTGCTCATGATATATGCGTTCTGCAACTTCCCTGTTTTATCCCACCGACCAATCCTGTCAAGTTTCATTTCTTTGAATTTTTTCCTCATTTCCATCATAACTTCCTGTTTGGTCTTCCCAACTTTTATGAAATCAAGGTTCTCATTGAAGGTCTTTTTCATCCCTTCGCAGTACTTCTTAGGACATTCCACCAAAGTAGCACCCGGGTTCCTGTCTATTGGTGAAAGAGTTAGGCCCCGGAGGGCCCCTTTCACCCCCACGGCGTACTCACAGGAAATGGACCCGATCGGGACCACCGGCGATCCGATTACCCTGAGCTTCAAACGTGACATCCTGAATTCGTCAGTGATCCCTGCATTCTTCAGATCCTTCAAAGCAACTCTACAAGCTTCATTCACTACGCTCAGATTCTCCATACGTCCGGGGTATGGCACATTTCGGGAATTATGGAGGAAGGGGTGAACTTCTGGAATCTCGTGTAGTCTGACCCGTACATGCCCATCTATTTTGGGCGGAAGACTACTCGCAGCTTTTTCTGCATCAGGTCCACGAGTTCCGGAGGTTCAACCTTCCTCCCAATCCATTGGCACACCTTGGATCGCACACATCTCTTGTCAATAGTTGGGCAATAGGGGATTTTTACAACAATTCGTTTTCGGGGATTGAAATGTGGCCTTCTCTTTAATTCAGTTGCGATGAGGCTTCTCATAATTTGTCTGCCCCTCTTTGCATTCACACTTTTCAGTCCTTTCAGCATCCCAAGCAGGCCCACAGTATCTCTACTCCTTAATGTACTCCTCCTTTTCCAGGGTGCACGCAATAGAGTTATCAGTTCGGATTTCCTTCTATCCGATTCAGACTCGGTCTTAACTAAGCAAGTGAGGGACCATCTACCAGCCCCCTCGAACAGTGTTTTCATGTCCCGAAGGACATAACTTCCATCCGAGTCAGATAGCTTCGAGTCCCCATACACCAATCTGACCAATCTCCAGGAGCACATCCACTTCTTTCCTCCAACGCTCGAGATATGTATCGGTCGCTTCATCCCTTTTGCCTTTTTTAGAATCTTAATCAGATCAAAGGTAGCGTAGCTATCAGTCAGATCAGCAGAAAAGGAGATCGGTTTCCATTCTTGTAAGCATGCCACTTTCTTTTTTTTCTTTCTGCATTTTTTGGATTTCTTTCTGGCTTTCCCTTTCTTAATATTCAGGCCAGGGTTCTCTTTTTGAATGATTTTCCCTTCGACAACTTTCAGCTCATCCTTCTCATCGATCCACAATGGGAGAGCAGCATAAGATTCAGACACTTTCTTCGTCAACCATTTATGTACTTTGAAGACAGGGGAAACGGCAGAAGTACGGACATGTTCCCTCCATCTTTCCGATACCGATCTACCTGTCTGACCGACGTACGCTTGACTACAGAAGGGAGAAATGAGTACGTAGACACATGAGCGGGCCTCTAGATCGACTAGTGTATCCACGTTAATCAATTCCTAGTACTTAATGTACGTACGTCCCCACTTCGAGTAGTCTAATAATACACGTGAAAGAAGCGTGCCGATCTTGAAAAGCTTCTCAAGTTCTTTCTTCACATCGCCATCGTGTCTTGGGATAGCTTGACTGATTCTTCGTAGTGAACGCAATAGGCTCCGTCTCGAGGGAACTAGTTCCCCGGTACCCCGTCTGACCCATCCTCTTCCTCCGATCCAGCATGTTCAGTACCAGAGTCAGATTCATCGTCACCAGTTAACTCGTCGTCTCCATTAATCAACTTCGTGAACTCGTCAGTGTCCTGCTTCGCAAGTTCACAGGCCCCCTTGTCTTTGCGTTCCCATTTTACGTTCCGCTTAGCACACAAACTTTTTAACTTCCTCCCATTCATTTTCATATAATGGTCGAGCCTTTGTCGCATATACTCTACGATCCCGACCTCATTCTTCCCACCACTGACGCCGCTAGCTTTGTTCACCTTGAGTTTGCACCCATCGTCTTTTGAATTCTCGCTCTCTTCCTCGTTCGTAGCCACCTCGTTGTGCACTGCGCTCGACTTAGCCGTGCCAGACATCTCACCCTTTGTCCCATCATTCGCGTTGTCTACGTTCTCCTTGCCAGCGATGACAACCAGCATCTTCATCACGTCCTCCAACTTTACTGCGCTCTCGCTTGCTTTCTTCGTTCCTTCCGGGTCGCCTTCGATCGTCGCCCCTTGTGGTTCCTTCGCTTTACCCTCCTCATCAGATGAGACCAGTATACTAGGCTGGCGCATCTTGATACCCCGACTGCGAGAACGGGTTCTCGATCTCTGTCTCTTTGCCATTGGCGAATTCGCTCCAACGATCCTCTTACGCTTTTCATTACTCCCTCCTTCTCCGTTTGGATTCTTATTTCCGGCCTCGAGATCGGCGAGCCTCTTAATCACTTTGTCACGTTCGATGTCGGCTTCCTTATTCTTCTTATCAACCGCATCCAATTTGCCAAAGATCCTCTTCAGTGACGGGCCAAAATTCGAGGCCAGCCAATTCTTCAGACACTGCTCGCCATAGTCCGTAGAGGCCTTGGCTTTCCCTTTCGCCTTCTTCGTCGCCACGCTCTTGCTACACTCGCCGGAATCCTCAGTTTTCTTCTTAGCTTCGTCAAGAATGTCCCGATTCTTCCATTTCTCAATAAGTTCCAGATGCTCCCTAGTGAACCATGCTCTATTGCCAGGTCCTGGAAAAGAATTTGCAGATTGGTTTTGTCGCGGAGCCGGAGTGTAGTTCTGGTTCTGCTGCCCGTACTGCCATGTAGGAGGTGGTGCAGGCTGCGCCAGCGGGAGAGCCCATCCGTAAGGATATGGAGGATATCTTGTCGGTGGGGCCGTCACCGGCGGGTATCCTGTTGGTGGGGCCGTCATCGGCGGGGCAGGGGATGGATTCGGAGGTTGGGCCGTTGCGCCGACGCTAGCTGGTGGAGTCTGATAATCCATCCAGTATCGGTTGCAACCTGACCACCTCCCCCTTCCTCTACCTCCCCCTCGCCCTCTCCCACGCCCACTCGTGTACATGCAGATCGGATGTTCATACGCCGAGCTTCGATCTTCAATGTCTTCACCGCCTCGATCTTCGTGCCGAGCTTGGCCTTCGATGTCTCCACCACTTCGATCTTCAGCCGATTGCGATCGTGGATGATCACGCGCCCGCTGCCTCCGCACTACATGAGTTGTGACCAATTTATGCTCGACTCAAACGATAGACTTAAACAGTCTACCTCCGATCGCGCCCATCAAGTGCGAAGGAACACCTCACGGCGCGGGGCGAAACCATTAACAAATATGAGTATAATTAGTGAGATAGCAGAGAATGAAATGAAATAATGAAATAATGAAATAATGAAATAATTAAATAATTAAACAAAGCAGTTACCGCAATGCACGTGCGACGGACATAGCTCGACATTCGCAACTAGGCGGAAGCGTGAACTACGTAGCAGAAGCACGGCACCAGGCGAGCGTTACCAAGCATGACCGCTGGGTCGTTCACATGGATCAATTTAGAGATAAAACATGTAATGCAGTCAGAGGTTTATTGTCGCAGCATAACCACATGACACAGGAACATGGGGCAACCCCATGCTTGCAGACCTTCTCCTCTATGCTACTCAGTCTGCCATTGGAGTGAACGCTCCCTTCAATAAATACCCTCGCTTCGACTTACCACGGGGTGTAAAGCAACCGGTTCCCCGAATCACCCGGGACCCTGACGTAGTAAGGCCCCTGTAACCAGTCCTGCAATGCGCAGATTTACCGCCAAAACGTAATCGGCCCGGGCCCGGGGCGCAGGTCAAACCCTTAGCTGCGAAGATAAAAAGCGTGCTCGGCTGTAGGCCGACACGGTTGCTGAAAAGATAAATAAATATATTTAAGGATCCTAAGCAAAAAATCTAGAGAAAGTCAAGAGAAATTAGATGCTGATGTCAGAGCGAGAATGAGTCACACCACATTTAGATACGTGCGGCTCGAGCGCGTGATCACTTCGTCACATCGTTAGCTGCTCCTGACTTCCTCTCAGTCGGCCCCGCGCCAACTCTCGTAGCATTTCCGTAGCTTGTGGACGAGCGCCACAAGACATTTGGGGCAGGCCCGGGTACCTCCGAAGAAGTATAAATAAAGAGGCAGCGTCCAGCCATTCATTCATTCGCCTGTGTGCCATGCGGAAGAGCTGCCTTGGTATCTTGTGCGTGGAGGACTGCAGGTGCCCGGAGAAGAAGTGGGCTGTGAAGAAGACAGCGGGCATAGCGAACCAGCGGGAGAGGGACACCGGTGGCCATAGCTAGGAGGAGGAAGATGACGGCGGCCATAGCCGCCCAGCTGTTGGTGCAGGCAGGCTATACAAAGTGTGTGTGTCTGAGCAGCATGGACATTCAGGGAGATCCTCGTACGTGCATACATGTGAGAGTGAGGGAGAGTGAGGCGGGTGGTAGAGCCAGTGTTCGGCAGCCATAGCCGCAAGTTGTACAGTTGTTTTGAACAGAGTTTAAGAGCAAGTTCATTGTTGTTTCTGAGTTGGAAGAGTTTGGTTTGTCATCGGTTCTCAAGTGTGCATGTTGTGAGCAAGTTCAGAGTTGAGTCTGATTGCACAGAAGCCAGGACAGATTTAGTGATTCGGGGATTTTTCAATCATTGGGTAAAGGACTACGGGCATCCCTTGACTATCGTCAGTGATAGGGATAAAAGGTTCACGGGCGAGCACCGACAACAACTTATGAGCGTGTATGGGTCCAAACTGACTATGTCCTTAGGCAGACATCCTGAGACGAATGGACGGACCGAGCAGATGAACAAAGTGTTGCAGCAGGCGCTGCGTATGTACATCCGACCAGATCAGGTTGACTGGGATGAACATCTCGCTAAGGTTGCTAGTGCCTATAGCAACTCTGTACATTTGGCTACAGCACGAATGCCCATGGAACTACATTTAGGTTGGTGCCCATGTAGGCCCATTGATGGTCTGATCAAGTACAAAGACTTCTGCCAGGGACTAGAGAATTCGTTGTACAGTATGAGAAAGACTTAGAGAAGGTAAGGGAGAACATCAGGAAGGCACAACATCAGATGATAGAACAAGCAAATAAACACCACAGACCTTCATAGTTTGCTGTAGGAGATTTGGTCTGGGTGAAGTCCAAAGAGTTTCGACCGGATGAGAACATTTCGCAGAAGTTGTTGCCTGCGTATAGGGGACCGTGGCAGATTCTCAACGTGATTGGTGATGTGGATGGTCCTTCCTATGTTGTTGAGATTCCTTTGCACTTGCACACTTACCCGGTGTTTCATGCCTCTAAGTTGCTCTCTTGTGTCAGCAATGAGCTATTTCTGTCTATCAGATCCATGACTCCTCCTGATATGGATGGCAAATAAGATGCGGTCCGTGTTGTTGCTAAGGATGTTTATAGATTGGGATACAGGCGTAGACCCCGGCGGCAGTATAAAGTCAGATTCATTATCAAGAGCCTTCTGAAGATCGGTGGTTTACTAGGGATGAGCTAATTGAAACAGCACCGCACATAGTGTCTTGCTATGAGAGAGCTAAGCGAGAAGAGAAGTCATAGTCGGGTACCTTAGGAGTCAAGTCCAACAGGAACCCGGTGAACAGTCACATCCCTGGGGCGAAGGTTGCGTTCTATAAGCAAAAGTCACGTCTCATATTGAAAGTTCATATCCCACGGCAAAGGACACTTCCCCATGCAAAAGTTGTGTCCCAGAGGCAAGAATCACATCCCACAGTCAAAAGTCATGTTCCACAGGTGAAAAGTCGTGACTCACAGGCCCAAGCAGCAGCACACCAATGAAAATTCGGGAAAGTACCAGGCCTTGACATTATGAAGCAAGCAGGCCGTGGGCATGTGGTACCAGTACCAAGTCAAATCAGAAGAAGAAGCAGAGGCTGGGACGAGCTGAAGCTCAGTCCAAGTCAATATAAGGACTGGCCAGCCACACTTCAAGCAGATTGCTCATTCGTGAGAAGTGTGGAACTGCTGCTGAAGCGCTTGTGCGCTATCTGCGAGTAGCATGTGTGCGAGAGACCTGCTGGGCAGCGCTGCACTGAGAGGGAAGGCGGCCATAGCCGCATAGCTAGTGATAGGAGGTGGAGCTGAGTAGCAACGGATGTATTTAGAGTCAAGATTCTCAAGTAGAGAGAGAAGGAGAGAGCACATGCATGAGGAAGGCGAGGAGAGAGAGAGAGAGAGAGAGAGAGAGAGAGAGAGAGAGAGAGAGAGAGAGAGAGAGAGAGAGAGAGAGAGAGAAAGAGAGAGAGGAAGACACAGAGGGAGAGAGAAGAGAGTCACCTACCGTTGATGAGGATGGTGGTATTGGGTTGTTGTATTCTGCGCTGTTGAGCGCTTGGTGACTGGATCTCCGAAACTGCTTAATATGATAATATGTTGGAATTTCTAAGTTGTGCATATCTGGACTTTACATCTCTGGACTCCAGTGTGGCAAAAGCAGAATTGCAACACGAGTCCCACCAAATAAGAGCACAGCAAAAGCTCATAAGTGACAATGTTCGAATAGTCTCTTCATCATCAACAAAGAACCAATGTCGACATCCTATCTGGCACTCGGCGCCTAGACTACAAATGGCAGATCTTATCTACTACAATGTCGCTGGTGACGTCAACAGCTCCCCGAAGTACGAGCAGATCTTGGCGAATGTCGTTCGCCTCAGGCACCAGGTATGTCTCTCGTATCACTCACAACCTTGCTCCCCCACTCACAGATGCCATATTGGCTGGCATCCGTGGTTACTATAAACGGCTTGTCAGGATCTGGAAGTTTTTAGACCTCATGGTGTGTCAAAGCATGTGTTACATGCTGCGCCTGCAACAGGTTGCACAGGCCATTTTCAGGCCCGTGTCGTTTTCAGGCCGAAAGCCTGAAAACAAGGGGCAACAAGCCCTGTGTCGTTTCAGCTTGAAAGCCTGAAAACAAGCGCCTACACGCCCCTACAAGCCCTGTGTCGTTTCAACCTAAAACAAAACCTTCCCGGCCTTGAGTCTTTTCAGCCTGAAACGGAGGGCCATTTTCAGGCCCTCATAAGATCGACCTGCCTTGATACTCAGGCACCAGACCAGGGTTTTAGCACAGGCCATTCTGGGCCTGTTTTCAAGACAACCCTTTGTTGAGCTTCAACACCAGGGTCTGGCACGTTTTGGCATTGGCAAGAGCAGCCTCCTGCACGGGCCAGCACTGTATAGGACTGGCCCGCCCTGCAGGCTGCAGGTAGTGTCATAGGGACTCCCCAGACACTTCAGGTGCCATTCAGGAGGCAGGAGGTAGTCTTCAAGATTCGGCAGCAGCACTCTGGAGGAGCGCTGCAGTAGTAGTAGTAGCGTTAGCAGTAGTCTTCAACGCTGAGCGCTAGTAAGAGCTAGAGTAGTGCTGGAGAGAGAGAGAGAGATTGGGCGGAGGCCAGGGAGACTTACCTACAGCGACATAGCTCCAGCTTCGTCTTCGAGGTACCTGCAGCTCAGCGCCATCTTCACAAGTTAGTACCTGGCACATGAGAGAGAGAGAGAGAGAGAGAGAGAGAGAGAGAGAGAGAGAGAGAGAGAGTTCTTCTTCTTCCTCTTCTCAGTCCACCATCTCCCTATCACCCTCTCGCTACTTGACTTCACTGCATCAGCAGACTCCGAGAGAGAGAGCTTGGTGACATTTGGATCCAGACTCGACATTGGACTTCAGGCATTTGATGAGGGATTATCTGGGACTTGTACCGAAGACTTGGTGCTAACGACATTCCCATCTCCCCTCTCTTCTTCATCTGTTCCCCTCCTCTTCGTCTGTGTTATGACCCTGGCCAATTTTGAGATACACATCCATCGGAAAGTACAATGCCATTTAATTGCAGAAAGAAATAAATGAATTGAGAGGAGAGAGAGGATTAGAAGAAGAAGAAGAAGTAAGAAAGAAGAAGATGTACACCAACAAAGACAATAACAAGGCTCTTCTTCTTCGCCCAACAATCTCCTCCTCCTTATCTCCCCCTTCTCTTATTCATACAAGAAATAATAATACAATGTTGCATGACTGATCCAGAATTAATGTCTGAGTCGCTCTTCTACTGCAGGTATCTCTTGAGGTCCACCATAGCCATGGCCGCCTCCCCACTCCTCACTCTCATAGGCCGAGGCTATGGCGGACTACTAGGCCTGGCACAGATACCCAAAGGACAACCCAAAGCAGCTATGGCTGCTCTAGCTCAGGCCGTCGTGCCTCTTGAAGCTTCTTGGTGTGGCTTCCCCAAGTTGGGGACTCCTTGCTGCAGCGCCCACCAAGGTGATGAAGATGGCTGCCACCATAGCCAAGTACGTACCCCTGGCGCTTCTCCCCCTTCCTTCCTTCTTCCTCCCTCGTGTCCTTCTCCTTCCTCCCCAACAGCGTTGCTTCAGTGTGTCGCCAAACTTGCACAACGAAAAAGAGGCCGGACTCTCCGCCCGACCAGAAGATATAGCGACCCGCTTTGCCTCTTGGGCGGTGACTTCCAGGCCGCTCGGCCTCCCAAGCAACCGGTACCTCCTCCCTTTCGGAGGGAAACATCATTGCAGACTCTGATATTGCCCGTACAGGCCCTAGTCCCAGACTGGTTGGACTGAAATCCGCCTAGACCTAACCTACAACTACTGGGCCTCTAAAAATGCCACTTCTGTCTTTTTCTGCTCGGCCTCCGGTACCTGCACATCTACCCCTTCCAGGTGCGGTACCGGCCTACCCGCTACTTGAGTGTTTTTCCCCACTGCAACCCAGAGTAAGTACCGACCATGAGGGCCCAACAAACGAGCAAGTGCCCTGACGGGCCACACACATACTAATGCCAACCAGCACTCAGACAGGCACGGTCACACACTCACTCAAGCCATCCAGCACTCAGACAGACATGCAGTCCAGCAAACACGCACACACAGACTTAGTAGCAAGCGGGAAACTCAGCAGGGCATTCAGTCTATGGGCAAAACTCAAAAATCAGTTGTGTTTCAGTCCATGTATGGATGGGTCATCACCCTACTCCCCCCTCAAGAGTGAGGTCCCTTCGAGCGAGTAACTCATTTTGAGTCCTCGACAAACGCATCATAAGCGAGCACGACAAAGAGGCTCCTAGAGTACTCTGTTGCAGTGAGCCTTGCAAAGATCTTAGGTACAACATTAGTTGCGATTTGTCGCTCGTATGCATTGAGAACACGCGGTGCACTGTGTAGCAATTCCTGTTTGGAAATCGAGTACAGATCGTCTAATGGGTGATACATGAAGTGAACCTGGTACTGTCTGTTGCGTCCCTTCCCTACGTGTTGTTTGATCCTCTCTATCTCATGCCCGCCTTTGATCGCGCGAGGGATCATATCTTCGCGATAATCGAATGTTTTAGCATCACGGTAGAGGTATAGTTTCGATGCATGGAACACGGGGTATGTGTGCAAATGAGCTGGCACATCAACTACATACGAAGGGCCAAAGTGCTCTTCACCAATCACATCCAAAACTTCCCAAGGCCCATAATAGAGTGGGAGAAGTTTGCGTGAGACTCCCTCTTCTTCTGAGAATTCAGACATCTTGACCCAAACATAGCTTCCTACCTTAATATCCGACGGTCGACACTTCTTGTTCGCATGATGGATCATGGCGTGTTGTCGCTTGGTCATAGCTACAATGGCAACTTTGAACAAGCGATCATACCTGGCCCTGAAGCCAGGTCTGCGGGGTGTTAAACCAACTGGCTGCTCAGGGAATAGGTAGGAGAGCGGATTCCGGATCTGCCAACCGTAATGCAGCCTGTTGGGTGTCATGCCGGTGGCGGAGTGGACAAAGTTGTTGTGTAACCCCTTAACGGAATACAACTCTTCATCCCATGTTTCCCTGATCCAGGATAATCAAAGCGCGAAGAAGTTGAAACAAAGTGTGGTTGCTCTCCTCAGCCAAACCGTTGGCTTCGGGGTGTCGGCCAGATGTCATACACAGCTTGACACCCAGTTGAGACGTGAAGTCCTTCCACTCAGTACTAATGAAGCGCGGATTCCGATTGCTCACAAGAGTCTTCGGGGTTCCAAACTGCAGAATGTACTTCTGTTGGAACTCACGAATCACTAGTTCTGTTGGGGCTTGAGGTTGCAAAGGGATCAGGTTGAGGAACATAGAGAATCGGTCAACAATCACCATGACCTGTGAGTAGCCGCTCTTACTTACCTTTCCCATGTCGGTGAAGTCAATGGAGACGGACTCCCCGGGACCATCGGGAATGGGTAGGGGTGTGAGTAGCCCCATCGACTTTTGTCTGCATGGTTTGATTCATTGACAGACTTGACATTCAGCCACAAACTTTTCAGCAGTCCCTTTCATGCCAGACCAGTCGAACTGTCTCAGCAAATTTGCATACGTTTTTGCCATACCGAAGTGTCCGCTCCGGCCATGAGCCAAATCCAGAAAGTGCGTGCGGAGAGGCTCATGGTTGGGCACACACAAACGGTCGTGGTTCCCGTAGCGACGGAAACTCAGTCCTCCATACTCGTGAAAATCAGGCTGACTGCTAGGGTCAGCCCGTAGCGGCTCAAGGATGGAACTCAGCTCCGGATCCTTGGCGGTGTGTTCTACAAGCTCCTCCTCCAGTTTCTTCCGGAGGTCGTAGGATTTGACAAGGCAAGTCATGTACTCAGGGTGGCGAGACAATGCGTCAGCGATTCGATTATAACAACCCTTTTTGTGTCTTAACTCAAAATCGAAAATGTCAATCTCATGGAACCAGCGAAGCAAGGTAGGGGACAAGGTAGTTTGCTGTTTGATCCACTTCAGAGTCTCATGATCTGAGAAGATTTTGAAGTGGCGCCCCAAATGATAGTGTTTCCAGTGGTCCAACGCCATACGCAAAGCATAAAGCTCGTGCATGTAGGTGGAAGTGGCTACCTTTACGCTGGGCATGCGTTTGCTGTAGTACTCGAGTGGCCGCAAGCCATCGCCGTCATCTTGTTGCAGCACTGCGCCGATTCCATACTGACTTGCATCCGTAGTAACTACGAACGTCAGTTTGGGATCTGCAATGCGGAGTACCGGGTAACTTACCAAGGCGTCCTTCAAGGCTTGAAAGGCGTTCGTGCACGCGGTGTCCCAAGAGTAGGGAACATTCTTACTTGTTAGTTGAGACAATGGACGCGCAACAATGGAGAAGCGGGGCACAAACTTCCGATAGTATGACGCGAGACCAAGAAAAGAACGCAGTTTGCGAATGTTCACGGCCTGAGGCCAGTTGCGTATGACCTCCACCTTGCTTGCTTCAGGCTCTAGGCCTGCAACAGACAACCGGTGCCCAAGATAGATGACACTATACTTCCCAAACTCAGATTTATCTAAGTTGAGATGGAGTTGCGTCTTCTTGAGGATAGTCAGCACTTCCTCAAGGTGCTTGAGGTGTTTCTCCATGGACTTGCCGGAGATTAGAATGTCATCGAGGTAGACCACCATGAACCGGCCAATCTGTTCACGGAGGACTTTGTCCATGAGATGGCGGGTGCGTTCGTGAGACCGAAGGGCATTACGGTAAACTCGTAAAGCCCATCGCGTGTTTTGAACGCCATCTTGTGCTGGTCCGCAGGATCGACTTCAATCTGGTGGTAGCCAGACTTGAGATCGATCTTGGAGACGACCTTGCACCCACCTGCGGCATCAAGCAAGTCATCTATACGAGGTAATGGATAGGCATTCTTTCTTGTGATGCAGTTTAGACCGCGATAGTCAATACACATGCGGAGTTTGCCTCCTTTCTTTGGAGCAAACAACACAGGAGCACTAAATTCGGATTCGCTAGGCTTGATCCACCCCTTGTCAATCATCTCATCAATCTGTCGCCAGAGTTCCTCCAACTCGCCGGGTCCCATTCGGTATACGCAGCCCTTTGGAGGAATATCACCTTCAACCAACTCGATGGTGTGCCGGACCGATCGCGTGTGGACTCCACGTGGCTCGACCAGAGCTTCCGGAAACCGATCGAGGTTTTGGATGTCTGGTGGGACCGGTGGGGGTGGGGGATCAGCAAAGGGCGTAGATCCGGTCGCAGGTCGCATATAGAGACGACCGAATCTGAAGTAGGATCATTTGGACCATCAGAGGGCAGAGGAGTAGAGGTGCTAGAAGTAGAAGTACTAGAAGTGGGGTCACTAGTCGAAGTATTCGTGGTATTAACTGCAAAAGTAGATGGCACATGGGTAGGACGAACAAAGTCAACATACAACTGTTCTTCCTCCTTGTGCTTGCGCCATTTCTTGCAGAACTGCATAGCATTCAAAAAAGTCACTGGGGACTCGTGCTTCTCATCCATGAGGACAGGAAGCTCGTTCCCTCGAGCATCTTTGATCATGAAAAGTGACTCCTTCCACTTGGTCCATTCGCATTGGGACTGCAACCAGCCCAAGCCAAGGACAACGTCGAAGGGGCACTTGTCAAGAACATAGAAGTTCAACACGTGTGTGACAGTTTTGTCCTTGTCAAAGGTAGTGCGCACACCTTTGACTGCATGCGTACAAGAGAATCTTTGTTGCCAACTTGGGTCCGGCAAGGGTTCTGCAAGGCCACTTGCTTCATCCCCAAACCCACTTTGCGTATCCCGTGAGGTGACATAAAGTTAGCCGTAGCACCGCAATCAACCAAAACACGAAGATAGCGGTGGTTTATGAGAAGTTTGAAGAAGACCAACTTCACCGTCCCTTGGGTACGCGGCTGTTTCATCTCAGCCCAATGCTCCAAGTGGTAGTGAAAATCGACCGTCCCAGTCTCCTCCCAAGGCTCGACATACAAAACGTTAATCACCTCAGCCTCGTGTTCAGCAGATGATTGGGCCTCAAGGGAGGACTGCTGNACCGTCCCAGTCTCCTCCCAAGGCTCGACATACAAAACGTTAATCACCTCAGCCTCGTGTTCAGCAGATGATTGGGCCTCAAGGGAGGACTGCTGATCTGCCTCAGATTCAGTCTCCCCTGCTGTAGAGTTTGCTGAAGTTGACTCTACGCCCGGTTCTGGTTTCCCTGCAGCCTATAACAATCTTGTACCTTATGGTTTGTTTTTTGGCAATGCAGGCATACCCCCTTCTTGAGTCTACCCCGCCAGTCATTTTCAGTAATCCGGAGGTCGGCCCAAGGTTTAGTAGTCGCATCCTCCGGTTTAGGTGGGATCTTGACTCCCTCGGGAAGTTGGACATAGTTCTTCCCTGCACTCTGATTCGGTCCCTTCGCATTGGTTGTCTTTTTAAAGGCAGTAAATTTTTCTTCTTCTTTGTTCGCATCAGACTCATGTGTTGAAGAACATGCTGTATCAGAGTCTTGTTCTCGGTCGTCACCAAGAGTGGGGTCATCTGCATCGGCTTCTTCTTCGGCCTCCAGCAGGTCATGCACAGCAAAATGGTTGCTGCCTTTGAACCGTCTGCAGCCCATGGTTTTTTTGCTGCCTGCTGTGGTGACGAGGTCTACAGCCTCAAGACTGACTATGTCCTTCATCAAGGTGAACCAGTCAGTGTAACCAATGAAGTCCCTACCCAGGCGATTAGTAAAGTTGGTGGGAACCGCGCCTTTGACCACATCCAAACAAGATTGAGCAGTCAGTTCCAATCCGGGTGTAGCAAACATCTTGCTAAGATAGGTCTGCAGGTTTTTCATGGAGCCCGTCCACTTGCTGTGCTTGATTTTGTCAAGCTGAATTCTTGCCCTTGCTGCAGCATGTGGATCCAAGCATTGCGAAATGAGGAGTTCCTCGAGGGAGGCAACCGGGGTGGCCTTAAGCCATCTGGTTAGTTCAATTTTAGGAATCCCAGCTCGCGTAGCTTGGACCTCTAAGAAGCCCCGCACGATCGGCTCAACATTCATTCCCATGATCACGGACCGGGTCTCAGGTTGAGTCCCCAACACCTCGAAGTATGCCCTCATAGAGCTGATCCAGGATTCGATGTCTTCTTTGTCGTCGTACTTAGACGGTATTTGAACCGCCTTTCAGTTTACGTAGGGACCGATGCGGCTCGGACCAGCACCTGCTGGTTCCAATCTTTTTTTTTTTTTTTTTTTTTTTTGAA